GGCCCCGCTGAGGGCTTTCTTAACGTGCCACTGCCCGCCAGGCCTAGTGACCCTCGACCCCTCAGGCACGCTGTGCTAGATCTATATTCAGTTAAGCTACGCCCACGAGAGCGTGAGGACGAAAGCGTGGATTTTGGTCTATGGGGGAAGTGAGGGGCAGAGGGCAGGGCGCGGGAGAGCGCGACAGCGCGAGAGTGTGGAGTCAGACGCCTTTTTCCTCCCAGCTCCCTGCCCTACACTGAATATATAGCTTAGGACCTGCGGCTGCGGCCGCACCACCACTTCCTCGACTATGTTCCGTCCGGGGGAAAGAGGCGGGGGGGGGGGGGCTTTGGTTGCCCATATACATGGGTTACTTTTTCGGCACCTCACTAGAGACGATGACCCCCCCTCCCCCCTCCCCGAACGCTGGACCGCGCGCGGGCAGATGAACTTGAAGCTGCCGCCCGTGCCGCCGCAGGACAACCCGGGGATGCGCTCGCATTCGTTCATGACCTTGCAGACCTGCATCACTCTTGCTTTCTCGTAGCCCTCGTTGCAATTGCAGATGAAACTGCAACGAGGGCGATGATGTTGCATTCGCCAATATCGAGGCACTTGACGCCGTCTGTACAGTAGTTGATGTCGTGTCTGTCGGCGAAGCCCGGGACTGCGGACTGAGGGAAACAGCTCCTAGTAGGCATGGGCAGGCAATGGGACCCGACCTCGGGGCACGACTCGCAGCGAGCGCCGTTCGCGCCGCTCAAGCAGCAGCCACCGCCCATCAAAGTGCAGCAGAAGATGGAGTGCGGAAACAGTCCGTGCTTGTAGTCAAGGTAGCAGCTGGACGTCGCGTAGTGGCCGGCGGACGGGGACGACGCCGTGCAGGCTCTGCACGAGTGCGACACAGGACACAGCCGGCAATACGCAACTCTTGGCAAAAGATCTGTGCCTCGACATAGAGACCCATAGGGCGCGAACAAGTGGCGTGCCCGCCCTTCTGCCTCTCTATGCCAGGTCGGGTCGTCGTCGTCGTCGTCGACCCCTTACGATACTTAAGCCCGCATGAGCGCTCTCCCCCGCTCACTTCACTTGAGCGGGGGAGAGAGCGCCCCCGCTCACTTCACGTGAGCGGGGGAGAGAGCGGCGGTCTCACACTGGAGAAAAGCCATACGAATACACATACTCGCCGGCCCCCGCTGGCCCCCGCATAACCCCCACAGCTGATAGACGCGGAGTTTTGGAGTCCTCTCGGCCATGTTGAAGAGCAGCGAGAGCTTGGCGCAGCCCCGAAGGAGACCGAGCCCGACGCTGCACTCTCTCCCCCATCAAAGTGGCTGCTGTGCGCCGAGCACTTCACTGTGCCGCATGTAGGCGCGCAGGTGAGTCGCCTAGTCGCTCGTGGCCATGAGGCGCCGTTGTGTGTTACAAGTAGCCGAGCGTCTAGTTGCTGTTGGCTGTGCTGAAGGTTGGACACGCTGGGGCTCCAGGGCCGGCACCGCGGTGTGCAGCAGGGCAGGCAGCAGGGACGTGGAGCGCGTTGAGTCGCCCGAGGTCCTGCTGGCCGTCCACAGTCTGCTTAAGCTCGGCCACAGGGCCGGCAACAAAGGCGTCGAAGCAGCTTGAGTTTTCGTTGAAAACATAAAACGTCTGATTACGAATGACAACTCTACCATCCGTACACCGCAGGGCCGTTCTCGGCCCGATTCGTCTCAGTGCTCTTTTGGTTGCTGACTGGCTATTCCAGCCAGCATGTTGGACTTGCTTCCTGTTGTCGAATCTGTCGACCAGCAGCCGGACGGTCTTCCCCTAACCTGGAAGGGGGTAGGACGATGGGGCCGCACCTCACGCCCCACCCTCTTCCTCCTACTTTCTTTCATCCCCCGCGGGACGTCGCGCACCCCAGCTCTCGGCCCCAGGCGAGCAGCCGAGCGGCCGCGGTCGTAGATACGGTACTCACTGCAGGCTCCGCGGCCGCTGGTCGAGCAGCGCGTTGGAGGCGGTGTTCTCCATCTCCATGGTCAGTTCGTGCTCGTGTCGCCCCCGGAGTCCGATGGCGCTCGCGCTCGCCTTTTTGTACCGTGTGTCAGGGCTGACACACCAGTGTTGCGGGTTTGCATACCCTTACGAGTGGAGCGAGTAGGCAAACCCACATACTGCTTTGTCAGGGCCCTGACGCACGGTACGGTACATGCGTACCGTACAAACCTCCAGTGGTCGGGCACTACTTAGCACCAGAAACTGTGATTCTCATGCCGTTGGCCGTGGTGCTTACGTTCAAACTCATCCCGGCGGGTGGCGTCCCACGTCAGGACGTTGGTGGCCGAGTTGTTGACGCGTTCACGACGGGTCCTTCTACGCAGCAGTTTTTTCTTGTGGTACCGGTTTTCACCTCCCCCTCCCTCCCCCTAGCGAGTGGACGGTCCTTTATGGATGGTTCCTTATTGTACCCGAACGGCACCGGCAAATCAGTAAGTTACTGGTCCTTGCGGAGCAAGATCGCTCCATCCACTGAATATGTAGTTGGACCGTACCGCATGCACGCGTGCGGGCCTGCTACTTGCTCGGGGAGTAGACGCCTCAGAAGTCAGAGATCATGAAGCCGTTCATCCACGTTCGTGCCACGGGATTGTATTTATGGGCGAATCTCTTATGTTACACCTCATGAGCACAGCCCTTCATACCAAGGAAAGCACCATACCACACCTACTTTCGGGATCTGGATGATTCGGTGAAGGATACTAAATTGCCAAGGAGGGGGAGTAGAGAGGGAGGGGAAGGGGGGAGGGGACTTTGCCTTCTGGTAGAGACAGTCTTGGGCTTGGGGACTGTCTACGAAGTCGGAGAGGGGGGGGGAGGAGGAGGAGGAGAGCGGCAGTGACAGTGAGCCTTAAATGTCAAAAGGAGCAGCTGTGCGTTCGCCGTTTGATGTTAAGGGGGGAGCAAACAGGCACCTTACCTTAAAACGACCACAGTGCGCGCGTTCGTGAAGTCGGCTGCTTTCCTTCACTTGACACAAAACAGCCTTCTTTGGCGGTTAAGGCGAGTGGGAGCGTTCGTGCCTTCTGCTTCCCCACCGGCCTAGTCCCCTCCCCCCCCC